TGCAGTCCCACGAGGAAGAAGGAGGCGGCCATAGCCGCGGAGCTCGACCACAGAGAAACGAAGGAGGGTGAAAGAGAAGACAGAGGAGGAGACTGAGGAAGGTGAAAGAAGCCATAGCCGAGGAGGTGAAGGGAGAGACAAACAAAAAAAAAAAAAGAGAGAGAAAGAAGACAGCAGGGGTGAAGAGAAAGGAGGCGAGGTAGGGAGAAAGGAAGGAGAAGGGTGGCGACGAAAGTGAAGTCGGCCGCCATAGCCGGAGTTGACCGGAGGTGTTGACCGGGGGTTGACCGGCGTTGACCGGGAGTTGACCGGAGGTGTTGACCGGCATTGACCAGAGTTGACTGGGGGTTGACTGCAGTGTTGACCGAGTGTTGACCAAGACGTTGACCAAGGCGTTGACCAAGGCGTTGACCAAGGCGTTGACCAAGGCATTGACCAAGGCGTTGACCAAGGTCGTTGACCACGATTTTGACCAAGCTGGAGCCGGTATAATCTCGCCAAGCCTTCAGCCTATCCCCTCGCCCTATGGATGTGCACACACCCTGTGGTACTTGCTGAGTCAAGTCTGTCCTTCTCTTCTTTCTGCATTGAGTCTCTTCTGTCCAGGTGATCGAAACTCTGTGGATGAAGGATAGAGCCTTGTTGACCAAACCCACACGGGCTGAGTAGGGCTAAAGACTGTGTCTGACGACTCGACTGTCCCAGAGGACACAAACCCTCCCAAGGACCGGTACTGACCGGCGGGCTGCTCGGTGTGGCACGGTAGGTCCAAAATCCGAGTTGTGGGTTGCACAACAGGCTGTGTAAGTGTTGAGAAAACCTGCTGATCGCGTCATCCTGTCTGCGGCGTTAAATAATTCCTGAGGAAATACGGGGGATCTCCTTAAATGCCTCCTGATCGGCTACAAGTCTTGTAGTGACAGCCTTAGAGTAGGTCTAGGCAAGAGACCCTAGTTGACAGGATCCTGTCCGGATTCTGTAAGTCTTTAGATTGAGTCAATAGCTGTGTCAGTCAGGGGGAGTAGAGTCTAAGTGGTGAGGAGTGGAACCGACGTCCGGTTGTGCACCTTTCACCATGGTTGACACCCGTAGTGGGAAGAGTACTGCCCCCTCCGAGGCCGAGCAGGCCCGGATTGCCGCCCTTCTGAGAGAGAAAAAGGAGAAGAAAGAGTTCCTTAAGCAGGTGAAGTTAAAGGCCATTGCAGAGGAGCAGGCGGCAAAGAAGAAGAGATTGGAGGAGGAGATGTTGAGATTTCAAAGGGAGAAGATGCTGCAAATACAGCTAGAGGAAGAGGAAAGAAGAAGGGTTGCAGAGGAAGAAGCAGCAGCAGAGGAGGAGGAAGAAGAAGAAGAAGAGCCCCTTGAAAGAAGACGTGGGGAAGAGAGAGGGGAAGCAAGCGGCACGAAGGAGGAGGACCGATGGAGGGAGAAAAAGATTAGTGAATGGGTGGCTAACTTATCTTTGGGAGAAGATGAAGAGGCACAATTATATGTGCCGCAGGAGGAGAGGGAGGCGTTTGCCAGGGCCCTGGAGTTGATAGAGGATCCCCTGGAACGCCAGGTGACAGAAGATGAGAATAAGTTGGAGTGGAAATTGAAGATGATGAGGGAGAAGAAGAGAAGGAGGGAGGAAGTCAGTAGAATAGCTGGGGAGGTTGAGCGAGTGTGAACCGGCAGGGAGGAGTTGCATGCCCAAACAGAGGTCTCTGCCAAGCTAGACAAGATGATGGGCTTCTTGGAAGTCTTGAGTGAGGCCTGGCTGGAGGAGCACCAGGCCCGTAAGGGTCAAGAGGTGACCCTGCAAGCAATGCGATTCGGGTTCAAGGAGTTTGCGAGCGACGTGGCCCACCACGTCGGGTCCGAAATTAGAAGATCGAGGGATGGCGTAGACAAGTTCTACGTTGGCGCCATTGAGACCGCCAAAGTTGTGGCCACAACAAAGGCCACGGCGCGCCCCCGCAAAGAGCCAGTTAAGTTAAAGTTCCCTGACCCATATAGCGGGAAGAAAGAGGAGAATTTCGATAACTGGGAGGCCAGCATAAACACCTATGTCTTTTTACAGCATATTGCCCCCGAGGAACAAGTCCTCGTTGCCTTCCACGCTCTAAAGGACGAAGCGGCTAGCTTCGCCTGATCCCTCGCACGCGCCGCAGATTGCGAGCACAACATGATCGCATATTCCAGGCTTACCCCCCTCGCCACTTTCCTCAAACTCCTGCGTGAGAGGTTTGATGACGTCACTACAGGCGTCAGGGCCTCCGACAAGCTCCAAACCATCCATTCACGACAGTGGAGGAGTGCAAGAGCACTCAAGGCTGTCATGGACGACTTGGTAGCCGTCCCGGACCACAGGGTCACTGAGACCCAGTTGGTTCAGTTGTTTATCGTGCCATGCCAGAGCCCTTRCGAGGGCACTTCTTTGACAAGACCCAACAGCCCAACATCACATACGATGCATTGAGTAGGGAAGTGGTCTTGTTTGAGGCCAAGTCCATGCCAGTTTCCACTTTCTGGCACAAGGACTTAGACAAGGAAAGAAGTGGAAAGGGCGTACCATCTCTGGTCAGGTTAGGGCCAAGGATCATATGATCCTTACGTTGGAAGAAGGTGGTACTGACGAGGTCCCATATAGTCAGATTGAGTGGGGTCTCGAAGAGGAGGACTGTAACATAGGACAGGGGAGGTCCTATGCTACTGTCGCGGCTGGAGAGAGGCCGCAAAGTAGAGGAGGAGGCCAGGGCCAAAGGGGCCAGGCCACGGGAGGCCGAGGATCGGGCCCTCAGGGGGTTGGCGACCAAAGGAACCGCCAAGAGGGAGGTAGGGGTCAAGGTCCCCCGTCAAAATCGTCAAGGTCCCAGTCCGTCCCCGCAGAGACGAGGTGGAGGATCACCTCAAAGGAGAGGAGGTTGGCACCCAGGTTGGCCGCAAGGCCGGCCCTGGGAAGATCTGGGCCTGGACCAGAAAGTGTGGCAGCAGCGAATGGAGCAGGGGCAGTGCATTTATTGTGGTGACCCTGCCCATATAATCAAATATTGTCTAAAATATAGACAGGCCCGTTGGGCTGCCCAGGAGTCAAAAGGCAGCCGCCGGTAGGGGTTGCAACTGCCCCTATTACTAGACCATATGGGGAAGCGAGCGCGCGCGTACAGGAAACTCCCACACCACATGAGCCTTCGACAAAGGTTGCAGGCCCGTGCCTAGTTAGCTGTCCAGAGACTGCTTGTGTCAGCGTCTCTCTAGGCACGTCCCTCACAGGCGTAGCAGAGGAATTGAAGGAGAGGATGCCTGCTTGGGCCAAGATGAAGAAAGATAGTAAAGGGCAGCTAGTCCTAGTGGATGTAGAAGTTTTCAGAAGTAGAGTTGAGGCCCTTATAGACTCAGGGGCCACCGGTAGTTATATTAGTCGTAGAGCGCTGAAGAAGTTGAGGCTAGGATTGAAAGTCCAGAAGTTGGAAGACCCCATAGTTAGTGTCCTCGCAGACAACCGCACGATGCGAGTTGTGGACTACGTGGAGGGAGTCCAGGCGTATTTCCGCCTCGAGAAAGATGGGAAGGTGGAGAAAGTTCTCCATTCCCTGACTCTCCTCGTTCAGGATGACCTTCCTTTTGACATAGTCCTAGGTATGGACTGGGGAGAGGCAGCAGGGGCCACACTCCACTTCAGAGAGCATGAGTGTAGGCTCCCTAGTCCGTCAGATGAAGTTAAGACAGCTTGTCTGTTCCATGTGTCTGGAGTAGATAACTCCTTGGCACATTGCTGCCTCAGTGCTCCCGCATTCGCGCGATTAGTGAGAAAGGAGCAATTGGAGGATCAGGTCTTCGTAGTGTATGTAAGGTCTGCCACTGAGCGTAATCAAGAGGATAGTTCGATGGATCCAGCCATTGCCAAGTTGCTTGAAGAGTTTAAAGATCTCAGAGAGCCGCCGACAGGAGTAGTACCGCGGTCGATCCAACACAGGATAGAGATAGAGCCTGGCAGTAAAACTCCTAAGGGCGCAGTCTACAGGATGTCCCCTAGAGAGTTAGAGGAGCAGCGCAAGCAACTAGACGAGCTCCTTGAGAAGGGTTGGATTAGGCCCAGTTCGTCTCCTTTTGGAGCACCGGTTTTATTTGTCCCCAAGAAGGAAGGAGAGCTATGTATGTGCATAGACTATAGGGGTCTGGATGCTATTACAGTCAAGAATGATGAACCACTGCCCAGGATAGACGATCTCTTAGATCGAGTGCAGTGTTGCAAGTATTTCTCAAAGATAAATTTGAAGTTCGGTCATCATCAGATAGAAGTCCATCCTGATGACCAGTACAAGACTGCGTTCCAGACTAGATATGGGCATTATGAGTCCATAGTGCTGCCCTTTGGACTGACCAATGCGCCAGCGACATTTCAGCGACGTATGAATGATTTGTTTAGGCCTTGGTTAGATAGATTCGTCATAGTGTATTTAGATGACATCTTAGTCTTCAGTAGGACCCTCCAAGAGCACCAGGGTCATTTGAGGCAGGTCTTGCAGAAGCTGAGAGAAGCTAACTTCAAGATCAATGCAAAGAAGTGTGAGTGGGCCAAGACACAAGTTTTGTACTTGGGCCATGTGTTAGACGGAGATGGCATTAAGCCTGAGGAAAGTAAGATAGCGGCGATTAGAGATTGGCCGACGCCCCGCACATTGACTGAGTTGCGGTCGTTCTTAGGCCTGGCTAACTATTATAGGAAGTTTGTGAGGAACTTCTCCACTATCATCGCTCCCCTTCGCAGATTGCTCAAGAAAGAGGCAATATGGCCGTGGGATAAGGATTGTACGTCTGCACTAAAGAAGTTGACGCGTGCGTTAATAGAATATCCTGTCCTCAAAGTAGCAGATCCGTCCTTGCCATTTGTCGTCACCACGGACGCGAGTCAGTATGGTATAGGCGCCGTGTTACAGCATGACGACGGCAATGGCTACAGACACGTAGACTTCATGTCAGCGAGGATGCCCTCAGAGAAGGTTGCTACCTCGACGTATGACAGAGAACTCTACGCTCTCAGGCAGGCCTTAGAACACTGGAAGCACTACCTACTTGGGGTCAAAGTGTATTCAGACCATGAGACACTTAGATGGCTGAAGACACAGGCCAAGATGACACCTAAGTTGACTAGGTGGGCCGCTGAGATAGACCAGTACGACTTTGAGCTCAAGCCAGTTAAGGGCAAGTATAATGTAGTTGCGGATGCTCTGAGTAGGAGGTCAGACTACTTTGGAGCCATAGTTCACTATCTGGACATAGGGCGTGACCTGCAAGAGAAAGTTAGATAGGTGTATGCGCAGGACCCTATCTATAGTGACCTCCTCAAGAAGGTTAAGGAGGCCCCAGAGACTGAAACAGATTACCGCACTACAGAGGGGTTATTATTTGAGAAGACAAATTTAGTAGACTGCTATGCGTTCCCAACAGTGAGGAGATCCGCAGTCTAATCCTAGGGGAATGCCATGACACAGAGGGACACTTCGGTTGGCAAAAGACCTTAGCTAATTTTATGCACGCATACACATGGCCAGGAATGAAAAACGACTGCATAGAGTATGTCCGCAGTTGTAAAGTATGTCAAAGGAACAAGACTACTACGCGTGGCCCTCTAGGTCTTCTCAGACCCTTGCCTATTCCAAACCAGCCTGGAGATTCGGTCTCCATCGACTTCATAGATGCCGCTGTCAAGAGTAGGCACGGCAAGAGCCAAGTCATGGTCGTAGTCGATAGATTTAGCAAGTATGCTATTTTTGTTCCTTTGCCTGCAGAGGCGCGTATAGAGTTAGTGATTCAAAAGTTTTTCGATTTTTGGGCATGGCGTCCCATTGTCTATTGTTAGTGATAAAGACACCCGCTTCACTAGCCAGAACTGGCAGGAACTGATGAGAGTCTATGGATCTAAGTTGTTGATGTCATTTGGCCGCCATCCAGAGACTAATGGTTAGACAGAGCAGATGAACAAGATCCTGCAGCAAGTTTTGCGCATGTACATTAGACCCGATCAGATTAACTGGGACGAGATGTTACCCAAGGTAGCCAGTGCATACAATAACAGCGTGCATTTGTCCACCTGTCGCACTCCCAACGAGATCAGATTCACAGGTTACCGCCCGGTACCAGGGAGTTCGCAATACAGCACGAGAAAGAGATAGCCACTATTGTTGAGAACCTCAGGAAGGCCCAGCACCGAATGATAGAACAGGCTAATAAGCACCGTCGCCCATCACAGTTTCAGGTAGGCGACCTGGTCTGGGTCAAGTCTAAAGAGTTTGCACGAGGAGAACATCTCGCAATTGTTACTGCCTGCGTATAGAGGACCGTGGCCGGTTCTAGAAGTTAAGGGCGGAGAGGATGGGCCGTCCTACACTACAGAGATCCCAGCACACCTCCACACCTACCCTGTGTTTCACGCATCAAAGTTACAGTTGTGTGTCACAAGTCAGCATTTTCCCTGTAGACGGTCCATGATCCCTCCAGACATGGACGGAAGATATAACATTGACTGCATCGTAGGTGAAGATGTGTTCAGAACAGGAGGTAGAGGTCGTCCACAGAAGCAGTATAAGGTCCGGTTTGCATATCAGGAACCAGAGGATGACCGCTAGTTCACTAGAGCAGAACTTCTAGAGACCGCTCCCGATATAGTTAGAGCCTACGAGAGAGATCAGAAAGGTAAAGGTCCTGCCTCGGACTGAGTTATTCTCGGAGGACCTCGAATTTAGGCCGGCGGAAGTGAAACAGTATTCACCAGCTCGCAGTAGCTGATGCAGATCCCAGGGCTCGATCCCTAGTCCCCACCTTACATGTGTACAGTATTTGTGTCGACCCTCAGAGTTGAACCCGTGACCTGTGTATTTGTAACAGTTGGTAGGTTGTCGTAGGGTCCATAGGTAGCAGGGGTTCGATCTGTAGACCTGTCGAGTAGGAGTCCCAGTCAGGTCTAGCAGTCGTAGTTGTAGCTGTCTCGAAGGGTCAAGGTCGTAGCTGCTACAGTCCAGAAAGGTCAAGGTCGTAGCTGCTACAGTATCGAAAGGCCAAGTCTACGGCCTTCCGGAAGGTCCCAGTAGTGGCCTTTCGAAGTTGCCCACGTTTAGGCTGAGGCAAGTGGCCAAGTGGTGAGGCAAGTGGGTAAGTGGTGGAGTCTACCCGTGCTGAGTTAACAGTCCCAGTCCCCAGTCAGTCCTGGTCCAGTCAAGCAAGTACCGTATGGGACTGTGTGCACTGCGGGCATGGGAAAGGGCCAGACCAACGAGCTGCAGAAGTATAAATCAGGAGGCAGCGTCCAGCCATTCATTCATTCCTGCGTGAGCCATGTGGAAGCGATGCCATAAGCGACTTGTGCAAGGTGGTCTGCAGAGAGCCCGAAGAAGAAGTGGGCGAGAGAGGAGGAGTTAGCCATAGCGATAGGGTAGTAGCGGCCATAGCCGCCATAGCTGTAGTTAGAGTTCAGTGTGTGTGTGTCTGTGTGTGTGTGTGTTCAGAGTATCGCGTGTGGGATATCCAGGGTGATCCTGTGTATGCGAACAGAGAGTTGTGTGGGCGCTGAGTCGCCATAGCCATCGAAGCGAACTTGTATCCGATCTGTGTTCTCGGTTACCATATCTCTGAGTTCTGAGTCGGCGCTTGTCGCCAGTTTGCTGCGCACCTGTTTGCATGCATGAGAAGTGTGAATGAAAGCGAGGCTGATTGCAGCCTAGGAGATAATGTCTTTATGCCCTTAGTGGCAGTTAGTGCTTCATATAGCACTTATATATCTCTGTATGTTGATGAAGCTGTTTTCTCATAAGACAATCCCTTAGACATAAATTCTACCTGGCGGTATCCCCTACCGTCATCTTGCTGCCAAACAGCGTCTGTTGTGACTACAAACGGCTAGGAAGGGTCTGCTATTTTTAGCACTGGGTACTCGATGAACCCCTGCCTCAATTTACAGAGGTGCAGTTCTTGTCTCAAAGCCACACTGCCTCTTATTCAGCAGTCTACATAGTGGCGCTGCGATTGTGGTAAAATTACGTACAAAATTGCTACAAATTTTCGGTAGTAATTTGCTAACCCAAGGAACGAACACAGTTGAGAAACAGTCTTTAGTGTTGGCCAATCTTTAATCGCTCCTATTTTTGCATCCAACAACTTCACTGCATCCCTATCTATCACATGGCGTAGGTACAACATTTGCTGTTTGGCCCATTCACACTTCTTCAGCTTTACCTTGAACTTAATACCTCTCAATTTGGATGGTACCTTTTGCAAATGATCGTGGTGTTACTCTAAGGTCTTGCTTGAGCTTAACACCTCTCAATTTGGACAGCAGCTTTTGCAAATGATGGTGGTGTTCCTCCAAGGTCTTCTTAAACATCTATATACAATTTGGCATTGCTGGCCCTATGGTTAGTAGGTTTTAGGCTGCCGAAAGCAGACCTGCTGAACCCATCAAAGTCGTTCTGTTGTAAGGGACAATCATGCACCCATCTACCGGTCACAACCTTTGTTGATGACTTTTTTCAAGAAGAGAAATGGCCTTCAGATGTCATCATCAAACTGATTGACCCCACGTAATTCAGAACTGATTGATTTCAGGGATGCATTTCATCTGGATTCAAACTCAGGTCTTCATGGGTGTATAAAGTGAGTTAGGCCCACCGAGTGGCCTTATAACCTAGTCTGCCTTAAACTGCCAATACACGGCCCCAGCCAACTTCAAAAAATTCATGGCTCACTCCTAAAATTTGGAGGCTCAGGACTTCCAGACCGTAATGGCTGGCGGCACCAGCCCAAACGGAAAAAACTTCAAAAAAGTGCACCACTGGTGGTTCGGCAAAGCTTGGCATGGCGAGTCGACCAGGCCTGCATGTACTGGTGGTTTAATCCAAGTTGTATGTCCATGGATGAGTGGGTATACTACTACCTGTTGATTTTAGGTCGGACTTTGGTTTGTGGCTCTGAAGGAGGGGCATTCGGGGTAGAATTGCAGCTGTCAGGTCCCACTTGCAGGGATTCTTGGTCCATTCTACAGCCAGAAATGAGCAAGAAAAAAAAAAGGGGGTAACTTCAGTAGAGTCACAAAAGCGAGTTATAATTGCACTATGGGCCAAGATACAGTTTGCAATTGCACTTCAGGCACCCTACCTGGCCAGAAAGCTGGGTTGTATACATTGCCCGAACTGCAAAT